ACTGCTGCTTGAATATAAATCTCTATTACAAACGCACAGCAGGATGCAGAATGGGGCAACAGTTTGAGTGTCAGGGGTTCGGCGGGAGCCCCACCATTATCTATCAATCAATCAATAAAGGAACAATAACGAGTGTACACACAAAAAGTAGAAGCACGAAATTCGAACCTTGACGTTAAAAAAACAAGGTTTTTTGTTGAGACCTTAACCTTCCACCCACTTTGTCACGAGGTAATTTTTGAATGAATATAAATAAACAATGTCCGAATTTCAGTTACTCTCAGAATAAATTTTACAAAGTATCGATTTTTAAAACGCTGTATTCAAATATTAAACACTTTAAAAAATGGCTTTATGAAATGGCTTTATTTCCTTTTAGAGAGATAGCCTCTAACTTATTTTATAAATAAATTAACGGTATCTATAAAATACAAACTGATTTATAGTGGATGAGAATACATGCATTTTATAACTAACAATGAAGAAACCACCATAGGAGTAAATTACGACGCTATAAATTTAAGCTGAGATCTTTTTATGCAACCTAACATAATTAAAAGCTAGGTGATGATGGTGATGATCAATAAAATGACGAAAAAAATAATAAAAACCATCTACGACTGTACAGGATGTTCCAATGAAAACGAGCCACCTCGAATATCTCAGAAACTAAAAAAACTTTGTAAAAACGCCGAAGCAATTTTGTTTCCTAGGGGGACATTTTTTGAAGTAATTTTTTTTAACCCCAACTTTAAAAATTTACTACCCTACTTGTGGCACATCAAATGAAAGCTTTTCAAAACTTTTTATCAAAATTAAATCAGACCATCTATTCATGAGATATAGGGTGTTCTAATAAAAACGAACCAAAAAAATTTGCAAATAAAACAGAACAGGTTAATTTTGTTACATTTTTTACGCAATTTTAAAAGCACCTTCACTAACCCTTTAACCTAAAATGTCAAATAGCACCAACCACTTGTGATACAAAAAATGAAAAAACTTTTAAAATGCTCTTTAAAAGCTTTTTTCCAAAATGAAATGATTTCTATACATTCATAAAATATCGGCAAAAAAACTAATCATTTAGCAGTCAGTACGTACAAAGGAACTTAAGAACTATATTGCTATTTTTAGATACTTACATTAAATTACAAGAAACTTTATTAACCCTTGTCCTTTAGTACGATCATTTTGATAATAAAATAAAGAAATAAAAATTTGTTACAGCTCCAATAATACTTATAACAATATTAGTAAGTTTCTTGTAATTTTTTTTAATAGTTTTTATTAGAAGTAATTACTAATTAGAAACATTATCTTTTGCGAATATCTTATGAATAGATAATCCCATTCAACTTTAGAAAAGAGGTACAAAGAACATTTTAGTGTCATTTGAAATTCCGAAATTGAGGTGGGAAAAAAATTAGTGGAGGTACTTTTAAAATCGTGTCCAAAAGTGTCTTTTTTAAAAACAAAATTTACCTGCTTCTTTNAGATAATCCCATTCAACTTTAAAAAAAGGTTTAAAGAACATTTTAAAAACACTTTTATTTGAAAAAAACAAAATTAACCTGTTTCGTTTTTTTGTAAATTCTTTCTAGTTTTTATTAGAACACCCTGTATTTCATGAATGGATGGTTTGATTCAATTTTGGTAAAAAGTTTTGAAAAGCTTGTTAAAATAGCTTTCATTTGATGTGCCACAAGTAGGGTTGTGCTATTTAAATTTTTAAAGTTGGGGTGAGTGGGGGTTAGGGGGTTACTGAGGGTGCTTTAAAAATTACGTCAAAAAATGTCCCCCTCAGAAACAAAATTGACCTGTTTCGGCGTTTTTGTAAAGTCTTTTTAGTTTCTGAGCTATTCGGGGTGACTCGTTTTCATTGAAACACGCTGTATATGTAACAGTAAGGCTTGAAATTTGAAAGAAATTAGTATAAAAAAAAAATTATGAAAATTAATACGAATTTTCCAAAAGGTAAAATTATAACAAGCTCGGAGAAATGCCAGGCATGTCGAAAGCCTCTCATATTAGATCCCAAGCATTTTCCTAAGCGATGAGGAACGTTGAATTTTCAGAAATAATGTGAGATAATTCAAATAATTTCATAAAACTATGAATAACAAATTCACGGACGTCTTGGGTTTAAAAATTATTTCCCCAAAAATACTACTACAAAAGATAAAAAACACTATGAAATTTTCTGCATTTTCGCATTAATATTGATTTAAATTTTAAATACATTCAGTCTAAGATGCTCATTCATCACTCGTGGTTAAAATGTTTACAAATAATGAAACTTTGTGACATTCTGATGAATGAAACGAAAGCGCCTTTTTGTATTTGAGTGTCGAAACGGCTACTTTCAATTGGAACAGAATGAAATCAACTTTTACTGTTACTGTTTATTTACAATTTTCCAGGCTTTCAAATCATTTTTTTTATAAAACAATACGAATTTGTTATCTATTTTTTTCTTACTAAGACTGATTCAATTCAAATTATTAGATAACGTTTTAAATCATTAATTAACAAAGTGCATGAACTTTGTGAAGCAAAGATTACGAATTTTTGTCTCGTATCGTAGAAGATATGACGCCACATTGATATTTACAAATTTTGAAATAAAAAATAAACGATTACAACACCTTAACAAACTGATAAGATGAAAAGATTTACGGCTTTTGCTTTATTGAACAAATTGCGTATTTTATAAACCAACCTTGGATGTTAAAATGGACAAAATTGAGCAGACGATAGTCTAAACAAATCCAAATGCGGAACTAAAAGAAAATTTTATTTCCTCCCTACAGAATGAATTGAATATCATTTGAAAAATTTCTCATTTTCTTATGTAACCATTGTCTGTTGGGGAAAGTTTTATACAGGGGAGTTTTTATCAGCTTTTCCTATAGCTAAATATTTGGAGTTTTTCAAAAAAAATTGGATCTGCAACTTCCACTTTAAAAATCGGTAACTCTGCCAATTTTTAAAATTTTGGATTATTTTTGGCGTTTAAAAGAGAAAGCTTAAATCTTTCTTCTGGTGTTTGCAAATTTTAAAAAGAAAATTAACAAACCCTAAAATTTTAAAATAATTCAAATATCCATAACTCAATTTTTCTAAATGAAATACTCCAATTTTTATTTTACTAAATGGAAGAGAATTTAATTCTGCATCGATCTGTATTAACATTCCCTATACCTAAATTTAATAATTTTCAAGTTATGGTGACTTTTTGTTAAGACTACAGAAAGACTACACATCCGTTTTCGCATAGTTTGCTATGAATATCAAAAATGTCAAAATTTATTAATTCAAGTGATCGCATGATATTAGTTATATTAATTATCAAGTAGGGAGTATTATTTGTTATTTTTATTTGTTTAATGAACAACATCATGTTCTGCTCATAATTTTGTTACACTCTCCATAAATACAAAATAAATTCGTTAAATCTAAGTTTGAATAGATTTGATTCTCCATATTTTGGCACTATTTGTCAAATAATAATCCACTATTGACATTTATTGAGAAACAATTTTGACATTTTTGAATTCCATAGCAAAATATTTCAAAAACGGCTAAATTTAGGTATAGGGAAAGCTAATGAAAACTTCCTTAAAATAATCCGATTAATCCAAAAACGCAATAAAAATATAGCTTTCCATTTAAAATAAGAAAGTTGAGACCGACTTCCGGTATAACCGGAAGTACCGCTATCTTGAAAATATTGTCATTTAGGAGGACTTATGGATTATGGCTATGTACCAATTTTCAAATAAATACAATTATTCTAACTCCTAATAACTTCTAATGTGGGGTTTAGACAGAACACCCTGTATGCACCTCTGGAATGAAAATGCCTACGTTCTCAGGATTAAAATTGTTGTTTTTTCCCTTAATACATACAGCATAAATAATTATGATTTTCGAAAATTCAACCAGGAACAGATCAATAATTTCAAATGCGAACAAATTAAATAAACAGTTCACAATAACGTAAATGTTTAATTATTGGATGTCATACTTTCATAATATCCTTTCAGTATCCTGTTTGCATTCCACAACTTGCAGTGACTTTTATTAGCAACATAAGTGCAAAGCGTGGGTTGAATTTGTTGTAATTAAATGACACATTTCAGTTTTTATCTTCCTGTTTATTTCACCTTCCTTGATATTAATAACATAGTAGCAATTAATATAAAAAATCCATTTTTTCATTCGGGTTTCCAACACAATCCTTTTCTTACTTCCGTTTAAACTAACTAACTAATTAAAGACGACTTTTATAATTAGATTTTTTTGAATCTCTTCATTTTAGAAAATAATCCCAAATTAAAATTCAGGATTAAATTAGATCAAACGACGCTTTTACGATTCTTTCTTTAAACTAAATTAGACTTTAAAATTTTTGTTAATTCTCCAAAAGAAACTTTTTGTTTCTCTAATTAAGAACGTAAATTAATTAAAATATACCTAAATTAACGATAAAAGTAATTCCAACAATAGACGCATGTGACATCTGTAATAATTGTCGATGTCAAACGTGACAGGTGAAAAGACCGGCACACTGCGATCGGCATCCACAAAAACTGCAACTTTGTCCAACCACTCTGTATAAATAATAAAAATCAATGTTTACATTTAAGTATATGTTTATAAAAACACAATTTGTTTATTTTGTTTTTAAAGGTGGTTCGACGAGCAGCAGACTGTTGGGCGCCGCAAAAACTTTTCTAAATAAAACTCTCTGAACACTCGATTCTAATAATAAATAACAACGACGACGTAAATTATTAAAAATTGCGTCATAAAAAAACTAGAAATAAAAATATAAACAAGGAAAAAAATCGTGATTTGCGGCAACAGTTCGGTAAAAACGTGCCGAAAATTAACCACAATTTAATTTTGTCAGTGTTAGAGAGACTTTCATACATGAAACGACACGAAATTAATGCAATAATTAGAAATAATTGTTTAAAAAACCATTCTGTTACCTTGTGTGTATGTCAAAATAGAAGCCACTGTTGCGAATATTACTAAACTATATTTACAATAACACACATAATTTATTAAAGTCATTGTTTTTATGTTAACACGAAGTAACAAAACCACCACTTTCATTACATAACAGCGTCCTTTTTTTAATAAATTATCACAAAAACACACAAAAGTACTCTAGTCAGTGTTGCTTCCTACTCCAATGCCGCCATATTTTGTTCTACTCCATGATGTTATTTTTTTTTCAAGGTTTGCTAGATTGTAGTGGGGATTAAACGACACTAGTGCCACCTTTGCACAACTTCTACAGATTCCTTCTTTTGGCTTGACAGCTGTCATTGTTTACAGGTGTACAAAAAATGAGAAATTGAAAAAAACTCGTATTTTAAGTGAAAAGTTTGAATAAGTAAAATGATTAAAGCAATTTTAGTGTTCAATAATCATGGAAAACCGAGATTATCCAAGTTCTATCAATACTTTGTAAATAAAGTTAGGTTATGTGGACACTCAGCTCTAATCTTTTTCTCATTTCTAGCCAGAAGATATGCAACAGCAAATAATCAAAGAGACGTTTCAATTGGTTTCAAAACGGGACGACAATGTATGCAATTTTCTAGAAGGGGGAAGGTAAATATTATTTGTGGGTTGTTATCACTTATCAATTCTGCATTAGTTTGATAGGTGGAAGTGATTATAAATTAATTTACCGGCACTATGCAACTCTTTACTTTGTGTTTTGTGTCGATTCGTCCGAAAGTGAGTTAGGAATACTGGATTTAATTCAAGTTTTTGTTGAGACTTTGGATAAATGTTTTGAGAATGTTTGTGAACTGGATCTCATTTTTCACGTTGATAAAGTTCACTACATACTCAATGAGCTTGTCATGGGCGGTATGGTCTTAGAAACAAATATGACTGAAATTCTAACTAGGATAGAAGATCAAAATAAATTAGAAAAACAAGAGGTAAGTTTTGGTAATACAAACAATACATAAAAACACAACGAGTAAGCAGATTGTTTCAAAGTTGCATTATTTTATTATTATAGAATCTTTGGAATTTCGACACAGATTTTAGAAAGAAATTAGTTGTGATGTGGTCACAGCCCGAATTTTAGTTGTTTGTAAGTTAAAATAATTCGGGGAGGACTGTGTTGTCTTGCTTTGGATCATTGTTGCTCATCACAATACACAAGAATTGTTTATTTACTGTTATTTAAATGTAAAAATTGTTTTAGGCTGGTATTGCAGCTGCCCCAGCTCGTGCGGTCTCAGCTGTGAAAAACATGAACATTCCCCAACAAATCAAAGATATTAAATTGCCTGATCTTCCTCAAGCAATTAAAGACCTTAAATTCTGACCTCAAGTAGCGTCCCAGTTTCAAAATATCGACTTAACTACATTTCATTTACCTTCAGACTGCAAGTCTTTATTAGAGGAGCCATCCACAGCAAAATATACATGATGTTTTTCAATCACTATTTTATTTAAAAATCTACCAGATAATCCATACTGGACTGTGTAAATAAATATAGATTAGCAATTTATATATTTTTTGTTATTTCTCATTAAAACTTAAATAATAAGAAGAGTTCTTTATAATTCAATTTACAAAAATATATTATTTTCTTATTAATAATAATAATAAATGAGCTGAGAAAAGGTCGTTTCAGTTATCCTCAGGTTGGTCAGTCTCCTTATTCTCCTGTGAACAAAAAATGATTAAAAAATCAATAAACCAATGGTGACGAAAAAAGTCAATCAAATGCACTAAAAAAAATTAAAGAGTCCACACACTTTGAACTAAATAATTTTTTTCTAATTTAAATGAATTTAAAATACTTTAACTTTAAAAAATCATTACACAATAACTATTAGATCGATCTCCTTCAAATAAAGACCACTCTAAAGGGATGGACTTGCCCTTTAGAATGATATGCAATTAGAAATTGAATAATGGCAAACTTTTCTTCGAACAATGTTCGAAGAAGTTTGAAGTAAATCGAAATAATCTAAGAAAAACCTTACAAGTAATTTTATTTTCTTTGTCACCATTGTGTAGAGCATCTTTCTATTAGTTAGAATCTTAATTTCTAAAATAATATACCGAGTAGTTTTCAAGAAATGATTTTTTGAAGTTAAGGTTTGCTAATCAAGCATTGTGCCATATAGGAAAAATGCATGTTAATCTTACTTAAAATTGCATTTTTATAAAAGTATTTGTTTTAAGACTCTTCCTTTGCTTAAAAATGGTCAATTGCACCTTCTTTGTTCTAATTAGAATAAACAAAAACTGTTTGTTTACTTAAAACAAATAAATAGTACTTGCGTACTAATTAAAGCAAATAAAGACTTTTTTTTGTTGTAAAAATGACCACTGATCATTGAGCAAAGAGGATCTAGAAGTTTAAGGCACGAGCCTTAAATATAAGGGCAAATCTTTTTCAAATGAAAACACTTTCCAGTCAGATTTCGACTTGTTCACTTTGTTCTAGCTTTCTGAACTTTTTTTGAAAATGTTCTGAGCAAATGCTTTCTCATCACTTTTGAGTGATGTTAAATGCAATAAGTCACCTGATTTATTTTGTTGGAACATTCTAGCTTTAGTTAGCTTCTAGGTAGTAGTTGTTGTGATAACAGTTCACGAAGCAACTGACTTATTGCATTCAACGTCAGTAGAAAGTGATGAGAAAGCATTTGCTGAGAACATTTTCAAAAAAAAGTTCAGAAAGCTAGAACAAAGTAAACAAATTGGAATCTGAATGAAAAGTGATTTAATTTGAAAAAGATTTGTTCTTATATTAAAAGCTACTGCCTTAAACTTCTAGATCCTTTTTGCTCAATGATCAGTGATCATTTTTACAACAAAAAAACTCGTTATTTGCTTTAATTAGTACGCAGGTACTTTTTGTTTGTTTTAAGTAAAGAAACAGTTTTTATTTATTTTAATTAGAACAAAGAAGGTGCAATTGACCATTTTTAAGCAAAGGAAGAGTTTTGAAACAAATACTTTTATAAAAATGCAATTTTAAGTAAGATTAACATGCATTTCTCCTATATGGCGCAATACCTGAACAGCAAATCCTAACTTCAAAAAATCATATCCTAAAAACTACTCGGTATATTATTATAAAAATTTGGATTCTTACTAATAAGACGAAGAAAAAAAATTACTCGTAGGGTTTTTCTTAGATTACTTCGATTTACTTCGAACACTGTTCGAAGAAAAGTTTGCCAATATTCAATTTCAAATTGCATATCATTCTAAAGGGCAAGTCCATCCCTTTAGAATGGTGTTTATTTGAAGGAAATCGGCCTAATAGTTATTGAGTAATGATTTTTTAAAGTTAAAGTATTTTAAATTCATTTAAATTAGAAAAAAATTAATTAGTTCAAAGTGTGTGGACTTTTTGAATTTTTTTTTAGTGCATTTGATTTATCTCACTGAGACTAACAAAATGATATAAAATTTGTCAAGTTGTCACGACATGACTTTTTTTTGTCGCCCTGTGTTAGTTACCTTATTCCGTTTCCCATATATCGAGTAAAAAGTGGTGGTGACTGTCGATTTTTGTCCCGTGTTTTTATTAAAAATTGAGCACTTATTGAACGGAGGACAATACAAGTGTAAGCTTATAGCAGTGTCGACATTTGAGGCGTTTTCCACACGATGCAAACCCAAAGAATCTACAATTTTGCACTCATTGATAACACTTTACGCACAATTTGCAAAATAAGATAAAACATCTAAAATCTGGTTATTTCTGGTTACATACCATTGATGTAACACACATCGTTGAGATTAAGTCTCGTCCTTTTTGTTTCTTTGAGTTCCTCCCCTTCTTGTTGCGGCCACGCGAATCTGATTTCTTCCAACGACCCTTGAAGCATCTTCATGAAACAATGAGCATTAGCATGATCGTGAATTGCTGAACCATGACCTTCACCCCAACAAAGAATCATCAAGTTGTATCTATCGTTGCCTTTATCAACCAAATTACGAGTATATCTGAAAAAAAATTATAAATAATGAAACTTTTTCCTGCTTTCTGAGCGAACCTTGAGATTGTCATTAAATAAGGATCAAGGTTGGAGAGTTTTTCAATGAGTAATAAGATGCAATTATTTTATTGTTCTTTGTGATGCATTAGCACTTACACGGATGTGAAAATAATATTTTGACTGTGTTGATAATTGTCTAAATCAAATAATGTTTTCTATTTTTTTTATCACTATTAGTTTTATTAACGTCATGGGAGCATGGAAAATATTTGTAATAATTCCACTGCGTCGAGAAAAAAATATTTTTTTTCGAAATAAATGCACAAGCTGTTTTGTTACGTTGATGGAATTTACTATTGGTGCAATAGCCTTTCTGATCCCAAAGTATAATTATTTTTGTCACGTTCCTGACATAACATTTCTTGAGATTCCAAATAAACGATAACTAATTTGTTCCCAATAAATAATTTCCGTAATTATACAAATTGTTATCAGTGTGGACCAATAGTAAACAAAAAAAATGCTACCGGATCATGGATTTTGTTCAATTTATTTTTATTATTTAATAGAAAAAAAACTCACCTGTATCGGTCGAATTTTGCGTATTTTTTCCAGTCGACAGGGTTGGACTTGTAGGATTTCATGAGGAAACTCACCAACTCGACATTGACAGAATCACACTCAAAAATTAATCGCAACTCTTTAATCAGATCGTTGAGATTGTTGATAACAGGAAGCCCATTTCCCAAATGTTTGTAAAGCTTGGCCTCAAGGATTGCATCGCTGTCTTCATTGTAAAAATTCTTCTTCTTGTATTCACACAACGACATGATGCTGTTTTTCTGACGAATACGAAAGTTGTACTTCGACATATCTCCAGCTCTTCGCTGTTTATCTTAGGTCAAAGATAACTCAAAAATATTTCAAAATATTGCTGTTATTTGTTTGTTGCGTTTAGCCAACTGTGTAAAGGATGCAAAGAACCCTCTTTATACCGCAAAATGTTGGCAGTCGATCAATGCGTTAATGATGAGAAATGGCGAATTTCTCAATGAACTTTCTAAACGATTTAACTAAGCGACTTTGAATTCTTTCGACTCGATTTGTATGTAAAAGGTGTGCGAAAATCTATGATTTGGTTTGTTCTTGTCAGGATTTGATCCGTAAGGACGAAATCGACATTCAAGACAAGTGCCGTAACACTTTTAAATAGTATACTAAATAAAAAATAGGCAAGTGGCTCATTGGGGTAGTGTGTGCCTCCACCTGCGGAATTACAAATAATTTTCTATTTGTTCAAGAAATTCCACCGCATGCGCTCCCAACAACGGTTGAAATTTTCCATAGAAGATTTTTATTTTTTGAATATCTGCATTTATTGGAACATTAAATTTATTAATAAACGCATTTTTAAATAACCCAGCCTTTTTATCTGACATTTCCCAATGAAATCTACACAAATTGTTTAATTATTCGGTTACAGTTACGCAAAAGTCAAAGATATGGAGACTGAAAAATACAGGATGGTTTTGACAGAATAGACAAAATTCTACAGGATATTAGATTATTTATGACAGGACAAAAGCCTTAATAAACGTTTTTATAACATGCGCAATTATTAATTATACTGTATACAGTATCTCTACGTCGTTATGAATAATTTTTGCTGCTAATGTTTTAGTTGAAAAAAATCATTTTGGAAGCGTATTTTGTATAAAATTTTACATTAATAAAATGTTACTTGAAATATAAAGTAAACACGGCTCCGATCAAAAATTTTATGACGAGTAAATTGTATGTATTTTTCTCGGTCTAAGTTACGAAAAATATTAAAATTTTGTCTATTATTTAAGACCATCCTATATAAATAAATGTCATTTATTTAATCAACATTGTAAATTTGTTTTTAGTTTTTTTACTTGAAGTGGGGAAACACAAAAATGTCAATTGGAAAGACTATTCGTAACACGGATAAATATTATTCAATATTAATAATCAGTGTATTTGTTTCAGAATTATCAAAATTTTATCTTACTTTCTTCATAGGCGCAGTTGTATTTTAAGCCAAACTTATATCAATGAAGAATTGTGATAAATTGATTATAATACAAATAAATATAATTTCTAGAAATAAAAATATGGAAGAAATTCTGATTTTATGAAAAAAATTGTGGGAAATTCCAAGGCAACTAAAAATCTACGC